TTGCACATGACCGAGGCCTGAAGCAAGGCCGAGACCCCGATCCCGCTCGACAAGCCACACTGAGAATGGGATGGATGTCTTGGGATGTGGAACCAGGTGCCCAGCGACAAACAAGAAAAACATGCTAGAATCGCGCACACCCGTTCCGAATGACGGTTGGCCCTTCAGGATCAAGAAGAAAAAGTTCATACCTAGCAGCGTGTATACATGAACCACCAGGTACGAGATGAGCAGCAAGCAGACGCACAGCCAGGAACCCATTAGCAGCTACATCTCCGCCACCGCTATAATGGAGCGATGTAACATCAACATCGTCGTCATCGTCGTCGTCGTCGCTGGCATCGGGCATCGGCATTGTCGGCAACATCGTTTTCGTCGCTACCGTCATCACTAAAGCATCCAACATTACGATCGCCATAGTTGCAATCAACGTCATCGTCATGGTCACCGTCGTCATCACTACATCGTCTTGTTGGTCAGCTTCGCACTCGTCATGCATACCTTCATTCGGCGACGAGCGAGGGGGGGAGTGAGAAGGAGGAGGCCTTCTCAGGAGGCGGCGGGGCTTCTCAGAAGCCCTCCGGCCTTCTGAAAAATTGTCTCTGTCCTCGGGAGAGGATGAGAAAACTTCCCAGAAGGCCAGAGGACTTCCGAGCCTGCTGAGAAGGCCCGCCCCCTCTCACTTCCCCCCCCAGGCGCGCCGCCGATTCATTGCCGTCATCGCAGTCACGATGACGGCCACCACCACCACCGGCGTCGCAGCAAGAGCGGCATCGCCAGAGCATCGTCATCGATGTCACCCTGCCCCCCACGCCGTGGCGCTTCGCGTCGACCCGGAGGTGGTCGATGCAGCAGTAGCCGACGTTGCGGCACCGGGGGCACCGCACGGGCTCCTCTTTCATGCTCATGCAGACGGGGCAGCTCACCCTGAAGGGGGAGGGGGGGACGGGGGGGGGCAGGAGGAGGAGGAGGAGGAGGAGGAGGAGGAAGAGGAGGAGGAGAAGGAGGAGGAGGAGGACGAGGAGTAAGAGGAGGAGGAGGAGGAAGGCATCACCCGCCACTCTCAGGAGCTTTGGACGGCAGGGTCAGAGACCTCATAGAGGTATCTTGGAGTCTCCTTGGAAATCTTCTCGGAGCTCGGTTTTGAAGGCCTCTTGAGGGCCTCCCAGAGCCTTCCTGGGGGCCTCTGCCTCTTGGGTGCTTCTTTGGGCCCGCACTTGGGCCTCCCGGGGGCCTCTTGGGGCCTGTTGGCGGCCTCCAGGGTCATCTTTGGGCGGAGGCCTCGAAACTTCAGCTCGGGGCCCTCTTGGGCCGCCTTCGGGGCTTCTTGGTCCATCTTGGGGCCCTCTTGGACCGTCTAGGGGCCCTCCTGGGACCCTCTTGGGCAATCGCGGGGCGACTTTGGGGAACCCCTTGGGTCGTCTTGGGCCGTGTCGAAATCAGATACGTGCTCCCCGGCGGGAATGTAACGAGTGTTGCTTCTCGGGGCCATTCTGGGGGATCTTCTTGGAGCGGTCTTGAAGCGTCGTGGACGCCCTCTGGGCCGTTGGACTCAAGACCCCTGGAGGGCGGTGTGGGGGTGATTCAAAGCCGTCTTGGACCGCCGTGACGGCTGTCTGGTGGCTGTCAGAAGCGATTTTGTTGAGGCCCTCACAGGCGGGCCAGGCCCCCGGGTCCTCCAGTTCGACGTCGTGGTCGCGGCCCCAGGTCCCTCGGGCCCGATCCCCCATTGGATGTCCATTCGTCAAGGATGGGGGGGGGGGGAGGGGACTTCGCTTGGGTTCTATGAATTCAGGTTCTCAGGTTGAGAATGAACGATGGGGCAGAGTCATAGTAAATCGCACGACCCCAGGGAGGGTCGGTAAAACTGGGGGGGGCTGCGACAAGGGGGTTCGCTGGGGTTCTACGAACTCAGATTGAGAATGAGCGATGGGGCAGAGTCCTATCAAATCGCACGATCCCGGGGTGTGTTGATAAAGCTGGGGTGGGGGTTGATCCGAATTCCATTTCTTGGAAAGAGGAAATCTAGGCGAGGCGGCGACGAGGCGGCGACGGGGCGGCGACGGCGAGCACGGAGCCGCCAGACTGGCCCGCAGGCCCAGACGACGGCGGCGACGAGGCGGCGACGGGGCGGCGACGGTGAGCTCGGAGCCGCCAGACTCGCCCGCAGGCCCAGTTCCTTAGAACAGAAATGATAAACCTTAAGTGCAAGAACTGTTTGGGGAATACGTGTGTTCACAACTGACACCAGGGAAAAGCCCCAATCAGGGGATGGTTTGAAATGGGATCGATAAAGAGATCGATAAAGAGATCGATAAAGAGATCGACCGGGAACCCGGGAACACAGAAACCCTGAACCCACCGAAATCGGCCCGGAACCAATGACCAGGAACCCGGGAACCCGAAACTGGGAACCCGGAACCCAGTCGGCCATCAAAATCGGCGGGACACTTTCGCCAAATCTTTCAATTTCTGCTAGGACCCCTTCAGTGCAAGCACTGATTGGAGAATATACATACTAATACCTGCAGGCACAAAGGACAGAGATGGCAAAACCAGAAGGTGCCCAGGAAGAAGTGGAGCCCCGGAGAAGGAAGAGGCGCAACAGTAGCAGCAGCAGCAGCAGCAGCAGCAGCAGCAGCAGCAGCCACGGCAGCCGCATAGTTATCAGAGCACTGCCCTCACATACACCACCAAGTTTCCCCTTGCTACGGTCGGACATGGATCACCCCTGACATGCCAACACGTCCCCCTCGCTTCCCGATCTCCTCTCTACATTGCCTTCAATGTCCACGCTGGTTGTGGATAGGCCCATGCGCCGCACGACTCTTTCACGGCTGGATACTGGAAATCTTGACCAAGAGCTCCGATTGGTGCGCCCTACAAAAGTACAAAATACCACATCCAGCTTCAACCCACATCACCACGCAAGCAATATTGAAATCCTGCGCTGTGGTGGCCGCCGGTAAAGTTCCAAGCCTGTTGTGGCACGGCTTCGAAAACAATCCGCTGCCGATTGAGAACTTCCAACGGCGTTCGATCATGGTCTGGCATGGTGGCTCGACGGCATGCAACACATCGTTAGCCTCCTATATTAAACACTTCAGAGTATGGCCATGCCGACATCATGTATGATCGCTATTGGCTCCAGGAGGGCTGCAAAGACCGCGAGAAGAAGAGCAATCTTGAGCGAACAATATTGGGGCCCTGGCTCGTAGCCGTCGCCGTCCGCCTCCTCCACCACGTCCACGCCCAGCCTCCTGCTCCTCCTCCTCCTCCTCCTCCTCCTCCTCCTCCTCATCATCATCATCATCATCATCATCATCATCATAATCATCATCATCATCATCATCATCATCATCATCATCATCATCATCATCATCATCATCAGTTTCATCATCAGCAGCATCATCATCATCAACATCATCATCATACCTCATCATCATCATCATCATCATCATCATCATCATCATCATCATCATCATCAGCATCATCATCATCAGAATCATCGTCATCGTCATCATCATCAGCATCATCATTATCATTATCATCAGCATCAGCAGCAGCGGCAGCAGCATCATCATCATCAGCATCATCAGATCAGCATCGTCATCATCATCATAATCATCTGCAGCAGCATCAGCATTATCATTATCATCATCAGCAGCAGCGGCATCGTCATCATAACCATCACTCATCATCATCACCACCACCAGCATCATCATCATCATCATCATCATCATCATCATCATCATCATCATCATCATAAGCATCATCATTATCATTATCATCAGCATCAGCAGCAGCGGCAGCAGCCTCATCATCAGCATCATCAGCATCATCATCAGATCAGCATCGTCATCATCATCAGCAGCAGCAGCATCATCATCATAATCATCAGCAGCAGCATCATCAGCTGAAGCATCATCATCACGAGGAGCCCCTCCTGGACGCCCGACAGCGCCCAAATGCGCGGCCGCACTTCGTCGGCCCACGGCGTCGGGCGACCCGCCACTGCAAGAAGCAAAACCCCTCTTGAGGGGGAGTGGCAGGGGGAGCTGGCTCAGTGGGGGAGGGGGCATGGACCTGGAAGCGGTAAGATGGCGCCGATGGAGCCCTCGACAGCGAAACCGCGCGTTCCCTGTATGGCGTGGGGGGCATACACGCCTCGATCGGCAGTTCATGGGCGATCGGGCGTCCATTTCGCCCCCCCCTCTGAGGCCTGTCCCCCTGTCGGCGCACCCAACCCTCCCAGGGAGGAGGCCGGGCGAGCAGGTTCCAGGCTCCAGGATCGAAGGAGAAGCGGGAGGAGGAGAAGGAGAAGGAAAAGGAGGAGGAGGAGGAGGAGGAGGAGGAGGAGGAGAGAGAGGAGAAGGAGGGAGGAGAGGGAGGAGGAGAAGGAGGAGAAGGAGGAGGAGGAGGAGTGAGGAGGAGGAGGAGGAGGAGGAGGAGGAGGGACGAGGAGGAGGAGGAGGAGGAAGAGGAGGACGAGGATGACGAGGAGGAGAAAGAGGAGGAGGAGCAGAAGGCCTCGGCGTCGGCTGCGACTGCGGCGGCGGGCGGGCCTAAACTTGAAAGCCACCGAGATGTACGGGCACGGCTGCCCCGCCTCTCCGCCGCCGACCCCGCCCCGCCCAGGGGCCACGGGGCGCGCACGGCCCGCGTCGACGCGAGCGCACGGCCGTGCACGCGCGGTGGGTGCTCCTGGCTCGCAGATGGGAGAAAGGCTCGGGAGAAAGGCTTCAGGGCCAGCATCGGCAGACCACTCCCCGTCCCCACCGGGTAGACCTGTCCCCCGCTGGCCAGCCAACCTCCCAAGGTGGGGAGGGAGATGTCGTTCCCGTCGGGCTCCGTGGCACTTCTCCCCACCTGGAGGCAGCAGACTGGTGGCGCGGAGGAACCCTGGACCGCCTGGGGACCGGGACGGGTCTAACGATGCTGGGAGGAGCCCTGCCCTGGCGGCGAGGGCAGCAGGGCTGGCCAGGGCGTGGGGGAACTGC